GCAAGTTATCATTCCAAAGACCTACCGCTCCCCTGAAGGGGGAAGGCTGCAAGGCGAGCTGCCTGTGGAAGGCAGCATAACAAGAGCACAGATCCTGACGTGCTCTGGTGCAGAAGGAGGAACAGGCTCAAGACCATCCTTAGGTTCCCATTCTTTAAAACTGTGCTGGACTATCTGAACTGCTACCAGAGCCCAACATAGAGAGAAAGAAGAAGATCCCCAGAACTGGAATAAGTCTTTGAAAGTACTGAGGACAGTTCACTTCAGATACTGACTTCCTAGTGACTCTTCATACGTGCTGGGCAAGATTTTGAGGTAATTGGACTAGCACTACACAACAAGTTTTCAATGCTACTACCTACCAATGCCCTACAACGCTATCTTGACGAAAAAAAAATTACTTCCTCTTTCACTTCCCTCACCCCCAATCGTCTGTCTCACACAAAGTCTGAAGAACCTTCTTGTACCATCTGCAGCTAATTCTTAGCAGAACATAACTGCAAGAATATATAGATGTAGCTTACTAGACTTCTGCCTGTTACCGTGGCTCAGCAGACAGATGGCATGCCATCACTTTTTAACCTCTGGCTATATTTTCCAGAGTCCACTCCAGCAGCCAAGTTCAACCAAGCTGTCATCATTAGCAGTCTCCTGAATAGAAACAAGCTTTCTAAGCTCAAGAACACAGGATTTCCTGAACCATATCAGAGCAGGCACTCATCAAGACAATAACCAAAAGCAAAAGCATTTTAAACAATCAAAAAAAACCACCCCAGCACAGGAATCTATTATTATTTAGGCATGTGATATTTCTTCCAGACAGTTTTCTTTCTAGCCCCAAATGTATGCATTTCCTCACAGTAGGATGGTTCATGACCTCTATACAAACCTTCTATATGAAAAGTCACTAATGCTCCATGCAGAGAAGCAGGCCCTTTAAGCCCAGCAATAGAGTTGGGAGACCTCTAAGGCATAAATGTGCTTTGTGCTATATAATCTACTCAAGTAACAAGTCCTTGAACATTTGCAGCATGTCTACACAAAAATTAGTTAGAAGTTAGCTACCAATCCTTTCAAATGTACCTAATCCTACTGTTTTCCAGGAAAACAAGGGCATGAGGTGGGGTAACAACTGCCCTCAGTACCTGTATTATTGAGACCCCAACATTAGCCTCTCAGTACTTGCTTGCAAATAGACACCAGCACCTCTACAGAAGTTACATAGATTTGAGTAGTGATTAAAACAAATTCTCATTATTACAGGCTTCCCCAGCTCAGGGCAGAGCAAGACTTTGGGAGGCAAAATAAAGAACATGACTTTCAGGCCCTGTCAATGACATCCAAGCAATGTGACAGTAGAGCCCATGCAGCCTGATTTTGGGAAGGAAGGACAGATAGTTTTATTTGGCTTTAAGTTTCATGTGGCTTTAAGTGAACTGGGGTGCAAACTATGAAATAGGTAGGCAAACAAAGCAAGAAAAGGAGGCAGGGAAAGGTAAAGGTAGAAAGAAGTATGAAGAGCCCAGGAAGGCAGGCAGACACGAGCCAATAGGGAAGGAAAGATGCTATATGAAGGTAACAAGAGAAAACTTTGGGTTAGCTGAGTAAGCAAGCTAGAACTGACATCAAGCCCAGATGGGAAGCTTTGCAGGCTGTGTGTGGTCTCAAGTATAAGACAAACTACATAAAAACCAGAAGACAACTAGAGGTGCACTTGAAAGGGAAGGTACAAGTACAAAAAGACACAAGAAACTAAGGTATCTGCAAAAGCCCCGACCCCTTAGTACATACACATTCATATCTGGAAATGGGACTCCAGATTTTGACTCACCACTTGTTATTTGCCAGGTCATATTTATGGAACAGATTCCACATCTGCAAGCAAAGGCAGCTTTCAGTGAGCCATACAGGTTGATACGGCTGGCAACTACCGCTAATGCTATGCATTAGCACCAGCATCTCCTGTCCATGGACCTATGTATACTTAGTATGGCTGGGACAGTCTAACTGCACCCTTCCTTCTTCTTTCAAGGAAACAACAAAAAAATTTCTAACAAGACAAAAGGAAAGAACAGAGAAAAGAAAAAGAAAAGCCACAGAACTCGTTTTAACCAGAACAAGCAAAGCAAACTGATCTAGCACCACTGGCCTCTATAATACCCTTGCCTCAACTGCTCAGGAAACTGAGACACGGGTCTTCAGTTAAATTAATTTACACAGCCTGAGATAACTTGTCATAGCTATGCAAGTTTAATGTAATTGCTTGAGCCAGAATTTCTCTCGATGCCATTGCATATTACTGATTTTCTAGGTTACAATTGGTCAAACATTCTGTAGACTTATAAAGGCACAGCTGAAATAATTTAAGAACAGTACTACACTTGATAGGTCCTTCCCCCTTCCTAATTACCTCCATAATTAGAAGGAAAAAAGTTACCTGACCCATTTTCCCCTCAGCAGGATGGGCTTAAATATCTTCCCTTGCCTCAGTTGTGTTATGGAAGTTCATCAACATGTGAATGATACACAAACTTATAATGAATATAAAAAAAAAAATCTCAGAGTGACACATGTCACTGAACCACACAAAACATTCTTAATTGTTTACTAAGTATCCTCAAAGTAGAGAGCACATGGAATTAGCTGCTTACATGGCACTTCTTTAACTTCAGAAACTCTGATTATGGTGTATCCATCATTCAGGTGCTTAAGTCAAGTCTTTTTAATCACACTGAGTATTTATCTGTATCAAGTGTGGTGAGAAGAGGGAAGTTGACTACCATCTCTTGGTGCCACTTTCCATGGCAGCAGATTCTGTTCTGTCTGAAATAGTCAAACAGCAAATGCTGGCTGACACACGCCAAAGCGGCCGTCCCATTCTACCCAAGAGACTTGGCTTGCTTACCAAACCAGGATGTGGCAAGCGCAAGGGGAAAGAAGTTACTTTTCTTTTTCATTAGCTTAGGTACAGGATGAAGCATACATTTCAATTACCGAAAGAAGTAGTAATACATTTGAAGGAACAACCTCCATAAGCAGCTAACATCAGTTCCCAATCCTAGAGAAAGTGGGACTAAGCATTTAGAGTGCAAAACACAGTAGGCAGATTTCACTGATAACAGCTGTCAAACGCAGGCAAATCATTTACACTATGACTTCTGCCCTTCTATTAGGAAATACAGATGGATTTAACTTCAAGCACTCCTCAGTGGTAGGGTTTGATAGTCTGAGGATGCAAATGCAAATTCATATTCTGATGAGTAAAGCCTGGACTATTACAACACTCAGGTTATAACTGCCAGATATCTTGTATTTCAGGGTACTGTTGTTTCATCACTTGTATCGATTATTCTTCCTATCTGTGAAGGACTAAAAATCAACAGGTCCTAAACCCTTCTACTGGTGTCCTATAGTCTAAGGCTTTGGAAGAACACCCTCCCCACTCCCCAACAAACGAAATGAAACCAAGAAAACAAACAAAAAAAATTACACCTCTGAAAAACAACTGCACTGCCGCTATCATACCAGACAATTTACGTGCAGAATATTGTTACCTCATGGCTAAGATTAAAATGCTGCTCTTTTTAAAATGGGAATTTAGCCAAAACAAGAGGCTGCTGAAGGCAAGCTACTCAAAGAATGAACCTGCTTTAGCTATGCCGTTCCACAAACTAAGTCCATTTCTTGTGAGTCTGCAAAAAACAAAAAGGCATCCCATAGCAGATTTTCTTAGCAAGTTAAACCCATGATCCATTGTCCTGACAACAGGAGTCCTGCTGAACTACTACAGAATTAGTCACACATTCACAAGTTAAAAAAAGAAGTGGTGAGTAAGGTTACTTAAGAACCCGTATAGACTACTGCCCACTACTACAACAACAAACAAAAGGCCAAAGGTTGTGCCTCTCCTCTTCCTAGAGTTACAAAATTGAAAAAAAAAAAAAACCCCACACAAAGCACTTGTATGCCTGTAGTGACCAACATCATGACCAATGATAATGAACGTTTGTCAACTACATTTTTTTCACAAGATTTCCTTGTTTAAAGTCTGTAGTTCAAAACCAATTTTCTTATCACAAAAGGAATATGACAGATGACATCAGATCACACTTCCTTAACTCAAAGATATTAACTTTAAATACGGTTAGTAGCCTTATAAATACATTGACTTTTGCAATATGACTTTAAACATTGGTTTAAAGCTTACTAACTAAGCAGGTTCACAACACTAATCAACTTTTGCATGTTCCTGTACACTTCGGGAAGTAAGCAGTAATTACAGCATCATAGAAAAGGCGTGAGATCAAACCTTTGATAGCTTTTCAAAACAATCCTAGAAATACACCATGGGAATTTAATTCCAGCTGGATGTATTTGAGGGAACTCATTTCCAGTTCAGCCATAAGCAACAACAAAAAAAACCCTAAAAAAAATCGCGTATGTGTGCAGAAGCATAAGCATGTGGCCTAACGCAAGTCTAATCAAAGGAACACAGAAACTGAAAAGTATGAAAATTAAAGTAATACTGTATTACATAAATCTAAAGAAAATAGCAATTCATGCATTTATATAAGAAAAAATACAAGTATAATCAACAACAACTCATTTTTCTATGCTTTCACTATTAAAGTCCACTGTGTTTATTCATGGTTCAGTCACATCAATACATCTAAAGAGATTTTTCCACACTGCTCTACGGCTAAAGATACACAAAGGTAGCTACCGTGAACTATAAACAGAACGGTTTTAGTCTTAAAATCTGCAAACATCATAACACACAAAGCACTCCCTTCTTCCGTTCTTAAGCCTACACATTTGGGAGGCCAAGCTTACTGAAGTCCTATCATCCTTTAAAACATACAACTATCTTCTGAAAAGTACAAGACCACAGGTATCTGAAACTATCCAAGTAATCCTAATACATATTAAACTAGGCCCTAGTTTTTCATCAAACGCACAGAAAAATTACTAACTCTGAATTACTGAAGACAAGTGCTTACCTTCAATCCTTTTTAACGCCGACAGGCAAGTATCCCGGCTTGGAAATTCAAACGGATTATTACAGGTCCGAATGGTGTCACATTCGCATTTCCCGTTGATTATGTTACAACCTGTTATAAGGTTTTCATTGCACGGTTCAAATCCAAGAAGCTGATCATCATCCCAGTTTTCATCTAAAATAAACAAACAAACTCACTCACTATTGGATTTCAGCTGCAGTATATGAATTCAGCTGCTTTGGAGTTGGGTGCGATTCACTTCAAGTTCAACATAGTGCTACACAGAAGATAACAGATTAAAAAAATTGATTAATCTAAACTGTGGGATTTGACAAATACAATGTTTTGCGGCTGTTCTATTGCCCATTTTGCTATAGCTACTGGCATTGTTTACTTCCATCTGCATGAAAAACTATGATGTCTCGGGGAAATGTATAGCGGTAATACCAGTGAGAACTACTCTAACCGAAATAACTTCAAGTATCTGTAAAAGTTATATTTATCATGGAAGTGAGAATGTTGGACAGAATCTGCAGCTGTTCTAAAAGTCAAAATTGAGTCAGAAAGAGAGCATTTTTAAACCCAATTAAAAAATACATCATATAGAATTCACTCCACGTTTTTTATGACAAAATGTCAGGCCTTTGATTCTGTAATATGATCAAAAGTGAGTTTCCCAGCACTCCTGGATTACCATACATACTCCAGGAGAATTACTCACGCACATCACGCTCCTTGCTGTCAAGGGGCAGGGGGATAGTTGGGCTAGAATGAGTCTCTCTGCTCAAATAATTCTGCTCCTCTTGAATCAGTCTCATCAAATGTGCATAACTCATATTCCACTCTACAACTGCTCATTTTCCTTTTAGAAGGAGACTACATGCAACAAGATTTGTTTTTTTCCTCCAAGAAGCGATAAAACCAGTCAATCGAGTTCCACCAAGATTACCAGTCCTAAAGAAATCTCATTTTCCTCAGGTCAAGTGCACATACAGTAACATCCCACCGTCTCAGAAGTTTAAGCAAGATACATGCTTTTTATGCAAGGCTGAAGAAAATAAACTAGGCATTAGGTATTCTTTGCTACAGAATAGTGAAGATCATTTTGCAACCTTGTCCATCTACCAAAACAAGTATTACACAATAGTCACACAGTCCACTGACTTCTAGTAATGACAAAAGGAACAAATACCTATTTTCAATCTTTACATCCTTATACTTCACAGCAGCTTTGACATTGTGCCTTCTAGTAGTTCACCCCAATTGTATATACTATCAACAAGCAAGCTTCTAATACACATCCTGCCAAGAAACATTTCAAAAAAGTTAAGACATCTTCCAGCTATGAAGGGTGGGTTTTGCTGCTGTGGCTGATCAGAAGCTGTCCTCCAGTATGGGAGGCTGTAGCCAAATATGAACTGTTTGTCATTTGGTAGTTTGGCACTCAGAGGTCTTAAAACTGATAGTAAATAACAGTATATACACACACACACATAGTGAAGCTAACATGCAAGTACTGTCCACTCACAGAAACACGCAGAATATCTGCTCACCTGCAGTCTTCCCTCTCTTGGGCAAAAAACAACCAACACCCAGAAAGAGCTGTTTACCAGTTACGTACTGCGCTTGATCTACAGCAAGTGTCACAGCAGATTCTCACAGATACGTTTCTCCCTGTACAACCAACTGCTTGCTTTCTGTTATAAGTCAGCAAAGTACCCTGCTGACACAAAGCACTGAATAAACAACTAAGTCAATTTTAGACATGAACAAGGGAACCTCCATGGGAACCTGATGGCTCTTCTACTCCATAAAAATAGCAAAGGAAGAGTAGTCATTAACCCCAGGAAGTAATTTGTCTTTTTTTAATTTTTTTTAGTCAAAGTTAACCTATCATGCCATACAACAACTGTATCAATAAAAGTCAAAGGAAGTGTAGAAGTTCCTGGAGAGAAACTATTAAAATTCTTTCAAGAGAAGATGCCACTTCAGTAATGCTTGAGACATTTTCATCGTGAGGAGGCCATACATGCTGAGGGAGAAAAACAAAAAAAAAAAAAAAACCACACCACAAAATAAAAAGTAATGAGAATTTGGAGAACAATAATACATCCTGTTTTTGAGAAGCCGGAATGCAGCCTGGACAATTTGTATTTTACAAATCGCAGCAGTAATCCACGTAATTACAAGAACAAAAGGGGCTATAGCTACGCTCCAAGATTTGGCGTTTCAAATTCTGTAGCCACAGGGACCACAGCTTCACCCAGATCGGTCTATTCCATGATCTTAAGAAAACGGTTTGAATTGCTCCTTGTTTCTGACACACAAGCTCTTCTCCCCTACCACTGTGTACAGGCCAGGAGCTTCGCCCGCCACGGGGCCCGTGGGGCAGCCCACCCTTGCCCCCAGCTCCCCAGAGCTGCTCTACCCACCAGCCTCAGCAGACCAGCGCAGCGCACAGGTGGGGCACAGTGTGCGACAACAGCACACTTTGGGTTTTCCAGCACACCAGTTCAGAGTACTTGTGAGTTTTTGCCTGGTGGTATTTCAGCCCTAGATCCTTTCAAGGCTGACAGAGCGATCAGCCGAGTCCCCGCTCCCCACACAAGGCCCACCTGGTGTGCGACGCGGAGCCATCGCTGACTCGGGCAGAATGTCTCGAGGCAGATGCACCACACGCTGTGGCACTACCCACGATATCTGATTTCCAGGACAGATTAGCGTTTGGTATCTCACCTGCCACCTCTCACGGCTTTTCAGGCAGGAACAGAAAAGGAGGTGCAAAGGAAGCGCATGACCCAATACACCCAAAGTGTTCAGTGCCTCACGCCGGGGAGAGGGCAGAGGGTCCCTCAGTAGTATTTGCAGACTACACATCTAACATGCTAAATCTTGAAACAAGGTATTTTTCATTACTCGGAGTGAATACAAGAAAAGTCCCATTCTGACAGGAAGAATGCAGATCCAGTTTGTTCTAGCCTGGACGTCTTTTACCTGACTGCTCTTCACACAGTTTCATTTAGAAACAAGATTTCCCTTAATGAAGGAGCAAACATGTAACAAGAAAAAAGATTATTTTAGTTTAGTAAATCAATATAAAGTCTAGCATGATCCTTCATGCAGGCTTAAGACTCCTTTTCCTAGTTGATTTTGTCCTTTTATCAACAGAAGTTAAAGGTCCTGTTAAATGAATACTCGTTTATCACTTAGGGTGAACCCTCAGAAGTCACATCAGTATAGGCAGAACAAAATTCCTTGGAATTAAAAGTACAACCACATGAAAGCACCTGCAGGAGCTAAAAGGATGAATCCAGTGTCTCACTTTGATTCAAAGCTTTATTTACTTGATGCAAGGGCATCTAGTGCTCCACCTGATGCGGATAAATGGCAGTCCAGCCCAGCAACGCTTGTTCCTTTAGAGGTCAGCAATATCTCAATTGATAATGGAAACAAGTCTTAGGCAAAGTCTAGGCTCTGTGAAGCGTACAACCTAGCCCCTATTATTCCCAAAATCATAATGTCCTGTGGACTATTCAAAAAAACCAAACTTTTACACACCAGTGATTTGGAGACCTGGGACAGTTCCTGAGCTATTCCAGATTGCAGCACAAACACTTCCCTGCATGCTCTGTTTGACCTCCTCTATGGCTTCCTTTTCAGGAGAGTGCTCTTTCATGCATACTTCTCAAAAGTCTCAATGATAGGAAGGAAGAAATTGAGATATAATCATTTGCGAATGCTTTACTTCTCTGCAAGCAGGGTTGACAAAACCCCAATGTAAGAATCTAAGAGCCTCTCAAACCTCAGAATGCGCATCCTGTCCGTTAGCTGACTTCTAGGACTTAAAAATACAAAAATCAAGTAGGTGTTTAACATTCTTAAGTTTTTAGAAACAGGCCAGCTGAAGAGCAGCCCAAGCAAACTGTTAGTTTTCATCCAAACTGATCTTAATTTTAGCTGCGATTTCCACAACCTCATTGCACTAGCATGATCACATCAGGGCAAAAAAGGGAAGGGCCACTCTTTTTAGCAGTCCTGAGTTGACATTGAACTGTGGTTAAATAGCTACTCAACTACCTTTTGCACACACACACCTAGAAGTGGTTCAAACATTCCCAGCTGGCTGATAACTATAGCTTGAAAGTCACTCACTCAGATCATTTCCATCCACATGCAGTTGCCCACTCTTTGCAACTCATTCAGGCAAGTTCCTTTTTCAGACAACGAAGCAGTTCTGCATTTACCAAGACCAAAGTTAAGTCTTGGACAAAACACTTTTTTAAATTCTTCTAAGTGTGCTTCCATATCATAAGGAAGCCATGGAAGGGGAGGCATCATGTTAATTCCAAACTTTTTTTGTTTTCTTCCACCATTCACATAGTCACTTGCTTTCTGCAAAGCAAACGTTTGAGCTTGCTAACAATTCAAGTTCTGCTCTGGGTTGCTGAACTCCCAAGTCCTGTCATAGCATGCGTCTAAAGCAGGGAAGAGGATTAAGGCATTAACAAGTTGAACAAGAGGTCTTTAAACAACAGGTCCAGTCCAGGAAACAGTCTGAGAAATGTCTCTCATAAGCAGCATTCCATCACTTATTCAGTGCCAAACCCTACATACCAACACTCACAACACAGCACCACAGCAGCATGTGAGGCGTGATGCTCACAATTGAAGCATTTAAGTCTTCTTCACCTGAAGCACATTGGAATCTTATTTTTAAAGCACACTAGCTCACTATAGATGCATTTATTGTCTCCATATGCAAAGGATCATCTCAAAACAGGTGCAAGTTAAAAGTACAAGGAAAGACCTTTTCAGAGACTCCTCCTCCATTGCTTAATTTTTTGCTTTCTCTTGCTTCAAGTTCTCAATTACTTCTGCCCACCACAGAACCTTCTCTTTTGTGCCCCAATCCTTCTCTGCCTTTCTGGACATTTAATGAATATCAGCTATTGTTTGGAAAACGATATAGTGTTCTCCTTCACTGTTTATCATAAAGAAAATGCATCACCTCAAACCAGCGAGCAACACACTGGAATGGCCACTAAAGTATCTAATATGAAATAAAATATAATATAAAAACCTAATATATAAGCATTGTACCCACATTGATCTTAAATTAGAGTTCAAGGGAGGAGGTAAACTTAACTGGAATGAATTGAGTGAACTCCCATAATTTACATTTAACTGCAGCATGTTACTCAGCTATTTCTGCCTTTTCAAAGCCTGACAGGCAGGTTCTCAGGATGCTCAAAGAGACCATCAAATACACTGCTGATCTGAAAAATGGAACAGTCAAAGTCACATCTTACAGACTCTGGCATCCTTTCAAATCCTGCATTTGAAGGAGGAGAGAGAACGGGTTTCACAGTGACACAGAAGTGATCCTTACAGATGCTGGTCCTGCCCTCTGGGAAGAGGGCAAAACCTTTCAGAAGGTTCTCCACCAAACCAGACCCAAGGTTTGAGCCCCGCCACTCCAGCACACTGGTATACGCAACAGCATTTTCAAATCAGTGGTATTCATTAAGATGGTATGAGACTCTGAAAGGATTCTACAGACTTTCTAAAATAAAAAAAGGAAATACTTCTTGCCAGTAAGCTTTGGCTTCTCTTTGAACAGGAAAAGAGAATGATGGAAAGGAAATTCATGTTTTGGAGGAGCTGAACAATAGAAATGACTAATCATCACTAAAGAATGCTTGAAACCCAGCCCCAGACCTTGAAAAGCAGCAGAAGGGAAGGCTAGCCTTGAAGTGAGTTTGAGCTCATGTACTGACTGCAATCTGCTCCACCCTCACAAGTAATTCCTTCAGTGAAGTCGTGAATCGGGGACCAG